TAGTGTGATCCAGATGCAAAAAATGGTGAAAATCGAACTTTATTGAGTTTTCAAAAATCAGAAAAAGGTTTCACAAATCCCAAACATGGTTATAAATATTCTGCTATTAGATAAGAATAAACTTATCCAGATTTGAAGTGTCTAGCTGTAGTAGTTTTTTAATTAGAGCAGATGATCCAGATGGAAAAAAAATGGTGAAAATTGAACTTCATTGAGTTTTCACAAATCAGAAAAAGGTTTCACAAATCCCAAACATGGTTCTAAATATTCTGTTCTTAGTCGAGAATAATCCAGTCGAGGTTTGGAGAGTCTAGGTGTCGTAGTTTTGGAAATAGATCAGTTCTTGTGTGACCAAGATAAAAAAAGGGCTGAAATTGCCCTTTTTTGAAGTTTCACAAATCAGGAAAATGTTTCACAAAGCACAAACATGGTTATAAATATTCTGCTATTAGAGCAGAATAATCTAGTCCAGGTTTGGAGAGTCTAGGAGTTGTAGTCTTTTAATTAGAGCAGTTCTAGTATGAAAGAGATGCCAAAAATGGTGAAAATCTAACTTTATTGAGTTTTCACAAATCAGAAAAAGGTTTCACAAATCCCAAACACAGTTTTAAATATTCTGCTATAAGAGCAGAATAATCTAGTCCAGGTTTGAAGTGTCTAGGAGTTGTAGTTTTTTTTAATTACAGCAGTTCTAGTAATGAAAGAGGTGCCAAAAATTGTGAAAATCTAACTTTATTGAGTTTTCACAAATCAGGAAAAGGTTTCACAAATCACAAACAAGGTTTTAAATATTCAGCTTGAAGAAGAGAATAATCCAGTCCAAGTTTCAAGTGTCTAGGTGTAGTAGTTTTTAAACTAGAGTTGATTAAAGATGCGGAAAGTAGTGAGAAATTAAGTGGAATCGCCCTTTAGCTATTGGAAGCTGGAATTGGAAACCAACTTCAGCTTCGTTTTTGATTGAGCAAAGTAGGAGGGTATACCGCTCCAAGATGGCCGCCGTATTTCCTGCGCCGGAGCGGTATCTACTCTTATATTATGTCTATGGGTTCTTCCACGTTGTTGTTCTTCTTTTTGATTTTTGCTAGAGACTGAAGAAACGGATGGTATGCATTACCGCCACCTACTGGTAAAGAGTGTGACTCAAATTGTCTATTTTATTTGTTAATTTTGTTTTCTTAAAAACAAACAAAAAATGAATCAAATTTTAACACATTCTGAATCTCCCTGTATAATAATTATTTAAATTAAATGTTTTTAATTTTTCTATCATATCTCCTACATACAAAATAATATGTTATATTGTTTAATTTCCTCGACAATATTGACAATTTCTTGTATTATGTTGCTGTATTCTGTGGCGAGGACGTCTTTTGTTTTGGGTGAAATGTCCAATGTCTCAGTTTACCTGCTTGCAACTGTTCACAGCTGTTCCTTGTTGTATCTGATTAATCTGGCCTTCCAGGCCTACCTGCGCTCACCGGCTAACTTCCGCTAGTCTACCCGCTCAATACCTTCAATTTGTGTTGTTTTCCGTAAGTATGTTCTTATTTTATTAAACATTTCAGTTGCGGTACAATTCTTTGGATTTTGGGTTCTTTCCTCCAAAAATTATTATTGTTATTACGCTGAATATTAGCAGGCCTGCTAGCTTGGGGATATTTACCTGTATCTCTTACTCTTGTCCAGTGATATGCTTGTTTTCTGTTCCCATACATTCTCTACATTTTTCCATTTTTCCTTGTTATATTTAAAACTTTAGCCAATGTATTGGCTAATAATTTCCAGTATTCCACCTCCTCCATTGTGTTGTTTCAGTCACACGTACGCAGAGAGCACAGCGTTGTATATATTAACAAATATAAATACATGTGAGGTTTGTCTTCGCTCCTTGCTATATGCACATTTTATTAATGTAGAGCAGGAACAGACATGTTTTTAGGAGCAGTCACATCCAAGCTTCAAAGCATCATCCCAGCTCCACCTAGCAACTGCCTCCAAAGTGAGCAGCACACCGACTTTTTTCCCCTCCTGTCTTTCCTTCTCACTCTCCTCTTTCATTCCTTCACTCTTTCAACACACCCTTCTCACTGTGACTTAAAGTAATGGAGATAAATTTACAAGCTCCCGTGCAGGTAGCTCCACACACACGCACACACACACCGTCATGCACACATTTTCTGTGTTGCCGGTATTAAAGCAGATTTGAAGACGTTGGCTTCAGCTGCGTGGAAGCTTCAAAAGAAAGATATTCAAAAAGGGACCTTTTGGTTACTATGGCAATGACAGAGATATGAATATGACAGGCTTTCTAGTAAAATGAAGCCAGATTGAGCACATCTCTGCTCAATTATACAGTACCTGTGTCGAGAGCTCACTTTATGCACCAACTCTCATGCTCTCTAATTCTGTGTGTGCCCTCTTGTTGCACTGCTTTATGATGCACACTCAAATACAACCTCAATATAAATCCATTGCTGACATTTTTATTTGTTTTGTGCCTGGCAGTATTTCCTTTTATAAGTGTTAGGACATTATCTTATTTTAATTTGAAGTCTGTTGTCATTGATTTATATTCTCTGGTTGGATTTAATGATTGACTGGGCATGATGCTACATAAAAGGCTTTAGGGAGAATAAATATAGATTATGATATTAGGACAGTAAATCATGCTTGTGCTGTGTGTAAAGTGTTGTTGCGCTTTTCTCGTAAATAAAGCTGGGCTGAATCTGTCAGAAAATCTTGACATCGTTGAGGCTTTTTGTCTTCGGATTCAGTTTCAGTCACTTTAAAGTAAACTGCTGGGTACCAATCTTCCCTGTAAGGTGGCAGTGGCTTTTAACTTCCTCCGAGAGCATACTGTGTTCTGACATTCTGAGGATGAATCAGCACAAACGGGGCATGGAGGGCAAAACCTTGAACTAAAAGTTGAACTTTCTCTGTCAGGCTTGTGGAAATTTTGACTTTTATCAGAGATTTAGTGAAGGCTCGGTTGGGGAAGAACTTGACTTCAGCATTTCATGACAATCAGAACTTTACAATTACATTACAATCATTTATTATTGCTGTCATGCAGTTTTTTTTTCCCCTGACGGCAACAAATATTTTGTTAGAAACCTTTGGGTTTCCAAACCCAAAGAGATTGTGCAAATGCTACTCAGGCATGAGATAACTAGGTTAAGAAAACTACTATTTTCTGTCAAAAACATGCATAGCTTCATTATGTGTTTTTAGATCTATATCTGACTCCACAGATACAGTTACTATTATCAGGTGTTTTTTTTATTCTTAGTTTTGCAGTGCCAGGCTAACACTAGAAAGCTTACTTCAGTTTTGATAATGATTTGTGGTTAAACTAGAACTTGAAAAAATGCTTCTCCTGGTTTCAGCACTGGACTTACTCACCAGTAGCATTATTTTTAAAAGATTTATAGCAAGCTACTGATTCTTAGTTAAAATAAGTTACATTTTCAAGTGACACACATCTTTCTGAATTTTCCTTTCCTTTCTTTTTTTGTTCAAATGGCATATCACGATTTTAATTTTAACCCCACAGTTTTTAAGAAACAAAAGCAGTTATATCCAAAGGCTGAATTGAGCATCTCTATAGGTGCGCTCAATCTGAGATTGTAGGGTATGCTGCAAAAGAATGTAATTGAAGTGTTTCTGCTTAAAAAAGCCCTCCAAAAATCTCAAATGTCCCTGTGACCTTGTCAGTGTAATAGAGTAGGTGGTGCATGCTGCATGAGCATCAGTAAAGTTAGACTGATGGTGTGTACGTAGGCTCAGTCACAGGGGAATGATAGAATAGTGTTTCAGGGAGCAAGCAGCAGTGGGACTAAAACGGGTGCTAGACGTTTCTCTATGCACTCTATGCGAAAGAATGAGCATCAGTCCTTAAAAGTGCAAATAACGTTTTCAAGTACCTTCTTGAAATGGCACTCTCTTAATATGAATTAAATCATGTTGTGAGAAGTTGTCCAAGCGTAAAATAAGAATTCTATATTGGATATTCAAGTTATCATGGACTGTATGCAGGAAGCAAATTCTGCAAAAAATTAGAAAAATGTAAATGCAGAAAATGTTAAAGTAATTGATCAGGTTTGCAGAACAATTGCGGTGAATGGTGAAAATTGCAAGTCTGTGCAAAATTTGCAACTGTGAAGTTCTTTGATCATTCAAATTAGTTTTGTCAAAGTCATTAGAGACGACAATTTCTTCATATTTAATTTTTGACAAATTGTGACAACTGCTTTAGATCTACTGAGGATAAAGGTGTTTGCATTTTTAGAGGACTCAATTGTAAAACTGGTGAGACCTTTCACTCAAAGCTTCATATATGAGAGGATAAGTCAGGGGATCAGCAAGGGCACCAAGATAAGTCCACTGGAAATTAATGTCAGATTTAAATGTCACCTTAGTCTGCAGGTATTGATGCCTTTCTACTGAAGCCAAGTTCTCAAAACTGTCTAAATAAGTTAATATTTCCTTTTAGATTGCAGGAAATATCTGCCTGCTCCTGAAATCCTCTACAGTCTATTTTTTTAAACATCTTTTTTTCTCAGCAAAATCAGAAAATATCCAGTGCGGAACAGAATGTGATTTGTCCACTCATATATAATTAGTTGCATAAGTTGATTGCTATCTTAGTTTCCATTTCACAAACACTTTCAACGAAAGCACAGAGGTTTTGCTCAGCTACAGGTCAATTCACCTCTTTGCCAATCCATATTCTCACTTTGTGTCCATGTTTAAATATTTCAGTGCAACCTGTGTCTATTTTGTAGGAAGTGTTTTGTATCTATATACTGCTGGTGTGAAGAAGTATCTTCTGCATAAGGGATTTCATCAGGTTATGCTTTTTTTCCTATTACAATTAAATGTTTCAGACTTCCAACAAATTTTTATATCAAGCTAAGATAACTTTAGTGAATGCAAAATAATCAAATTTTTAAGGTAAAAAGTTGTTCAAGCAAACAAGTAGAAGTAGAATGCCTAGAAGTTGTGCACCCTGGTAGCAAGTTGGTGTGAAACTCACACAGCATTTCACAAAATCACTTTCATATTATCCACAAGCTAACATGGTAGTGGTTTTTATTTTTGCTCTCTGCCAAAAAATCCTGAAGGAGGAGGATATCTGGTTTATGACCTCAAGCACTCTTTGGTTATGCAGCAGGACAATGATCCAAGTGTAACGGGTACCAGGGTTCCAGACCCGTT